AATAGCCCATTCGGCTTCGCCTCATGGGCTATTGACCCGTAGCCCTTGCGGGCTATGGGTCTAATTGTTAATTAGCGCTCGGCACAAAACGTTCATTTGACTCTCTTAACAAACTTGAAAGACAGTAGTTCAATATTGAATATTTGTGGATTTCTGCACAGGGCTCCATTACTGGCATGAAATTTTGTGGGTTCAACCTCAGATGTCTTCCTAACAGGGAATGAATACAGCATGCAAAGAGGGATATTTGATAACTTAGTCCCAACCTGATTTGTATCTGATTAGTTACACTTTCTAAAAGTCCTTTCCAAAAATTCTTCCTTGGCCCCGAAGATTACCCTCCTGCTTCACTCGAGAGATAAATAAGTCATACGTTGCTCGCACTCACAACTTGTCGCTCAAAGATTACCCTCTTGCTTCGCTTGAGAGATAAATAAGTCATACACTGCACATGCTCACGACTTCGTCGCTCAAAGATTACCCTCTTGCTTTGCACAAGAGATAAATAAGTCATATGTTGCTCGCGCTCGCTCCTTCGTTGCCTGAAGATTACTCTCTCGCTTCACTCGAGAGATAAATAAGTCAAGGATTTAGAAAAGGTCGAATTGTGGCAAGTCTACTCATTAGTGTGCAAGTCAACTCTCCCAGATTATGTGGGAGTCTCACAAATTCAGACTGAACCTTCCAGTCTCCCATCTAGGTTGCCAAATTTTCCAGATACAAGGAAAGTGATTGATTGGTAGTACATTTTTTTGGCATTTTTGGGGGAAGAGCTATTTGATGCAATTTTGTGGTTGAAGCCGCAGAGCTAATTTTAACAAAAAAATCTACATGTAGGTTGTGAAGATAAAACTAGCAATGTCACAGGTTTCAGGTTAAGAAAGCACTTACATCTTTGACAGGCGTTTCATTGTCCAGCATCTCCTTCAACTGTTGTTGGAAAGCTCTTCGAGTGCCCATGGCCTGTTGGGCTTTCTGAAAACCAAACGGTGAAAGAGTAGTCGTGAAAGGGACTGCTCGTGACTCTTTGATTTGAAAACAGGAGTCAAGTGCTGATTGAGTATGTCACCCCCTAGGGCAGATACAGGATTCTAGAGAAGGGGATTCAACATATGGACCACTCAAGGTGGTCCCCGTAGGGGGTCTGCGGACCTCCTCCCCCAGAAAATTTTTAAAATTGAGGTCCTTGGAAATGGGAGTTCCAGATATCTGAGGCCACGTCAGCATGTAATAATGTCTCATTTTTTTTTAATTTACTGATCTGCGCCAGCACCCTATTTTACATGAAGTAATATTTCGTTCTGTTATCAGGGTAGTCTTTCAAAAACCATTGACCCTTTACACAAACGGCACCTAAATTTGAATAACAAACCTTATACATCCTAAGCCTCACATTCATATAAAAAATCCTTTGTCTGGAAACATCAGTGTGAGGCTAAGGATGTACAAAGTCTTGTTATCTATTTATGCAGAGGGTCTATGGGTCTCACAAAATATTCATTGAATTTCACAGGTCTCGCATTCTCATCTTTTTAGCAGTTATGTGTGTCTCACAGTCTCAATTTTTTGGCAAGGCTAACCTGAAAATTTTCTTGAAGTACCCATTTGTTTGTTTGTTTATATAAATGACTTCTGAACGTCCTAGAACCTGAATGTCTAAAGCTCACATTTAAAACACTTTGAAGTCTCAGTCTTGTAATTGAAGAAGTCAAAATGTGTCAGGCTCGCAAAGAAAAACACTATTTTTGCCTTCTTGCAAAGTCCTGCATTTACCATTCACACCCCTTCTCATATTTAACTATTTAATACTTTTTCTACTCAGTGTGACAGATGAACAATGAAATCACATGTATCACTACCTTGTTTCTCACTCTTTTGTTTACTTGCAGACTTAATTCTTACCTGAAATGCCACAAGTTTTTCCAATCCATGAGCATTGAAATGTTTCTCAAACATTTCCTGAGTTTGTTTGTTGGGAGGAAAGAATTCCTTTGCAACAAAAAAAACAAAGTTAATTAAACATCAATTCAGTTGCCATGGTTATACCAAATAAATATGCATTGCACATACTCAACAGGGCTTATAACATTACTAACAAGGTCTCACCTAAAATCCATAAACCCAAGTTAATCCATGAATGTAAGTTATATAATGCGCAGTAAGGTGTATTGGAGATTGGACAAAAGCATATATTAACAAATTATTGTTTTGTAATACTTAGTTCTTGAAAAGTAATGGACTGTTAAATCCTCCAAATGTTCAATGAATTTTATGATGGTCATCAATGTTGAAGACAGTTTACAGCAAAGACAAATTTATTTAATTTTTTCCCAGTGTTTATTAATAATTTATGATAATTATCATTTCATGCATTTTTTCTTCATTTTCATTGGCTTAAGAGCTCATCACATGACCTGCAAAAACTGCCAACAAACAATGATCTCCTCATGGGTAATACTGTCTAAATGTGTTTTGCTGCAAATAATATTCTGCTCATGTAAACTTGTAACCACGCCCTACTTTGAACAATGTAGATCGCTTCCCTTAGCTGTCGGAGATCGACTTACATGTACATGTACATTCAAAACTTTGTGATCAAAGGAGAAAACACTTATTGATCTTAGTTACGGCAAAACATCATGATTGGTCAGTGTCTCGCAGAACACTTATTTGCATATTATTAAACCTTTGGCTTTGGCAAACGTAAACTTACCAATAGTTTGTTCTCTAACTCTGCTTTCCTCAAAGAAGAGCTCAGACTGGCAAAATCCTTTTCCTTGACCCAAGACTGGAAGACTTTGGTCAGAAATTGCAAAGCAAGGCCTGTATAACAGGGAATACGACTAGTGAACATTCAAGAAGTTGAGAGAGGAATGTTGAACTTAATTTAATCATTAAGAGACATTTTAAAAACAGAATTACAACATATCGACCGAGGTAGAACTGCACTGCTTTAATATTAACAAATTAATTGTAGCAGATTGGCACTCTTCAAGTGACCAATTGATGTAAAAAACCTACGTCCTCACCTTCTTTGACAAGGTTCTCATTAAAGAGGCTAGTCAATGCCATGGGTGGACCCATGCCTACAAAGAAAAATAATCCAAACTATTGAAACCTTACTTTTTTTTAAACAACAACAAAACACTGGTAGTGACTGGATAAAATTAGGTTGTCATCACATTCTTTGAACATTCTATTAACTGTCTGCTAAAAACTTTCACCCTCTTAAAGAGGCTACATTGTCAGTAAAATTAAAAAAGAACATTCAAACTCCTAATAAAATCAGTTTGCAACATAATTATTGAAAAATAAACAGCACCCCACGAAAACAAGTTACTCTGTCAGTGGCTTTCATCAAAACGGCCACAAACAAGAGTTATTTTACATCCATGGGCTAACCTGGGCGCTATTTAGGCTAACCAGAGTGTTATTTAGACTAGGCTAGTGCCATTTCATCCTTTTGCCATTTTGTGTTTTAAACACAACTGTTTTACATGACCTGTTCACAGAATTCAATGTAAGAGTTCATAAGTGACCTTCTAAGACCACATATATGTAAAAGGAACACTTTAAAATATTAATGTCGTGAGATATACATGAAACTCACCATTTGCCAGAATGATGCCCGTGACAATGGCAAGCTTGTTTCTTTGATCATCAGTGAAACCCTTGAGGAACAGTAAGATCTAGACAAAAAAGAGAAAAAAACTCAACACCAGGGGTTTCGATAACATTTTCAATCAGGAGGGAAACTGGTTTTCACAGGCAGGTAAAGTTTTTTAAACTGATTGAACTTCCTTTTACGAAAAAAGTTACTCTAGATGGCCAGTCAAACCAGGAGGACAAAATGATCCTCACAGCTGGTCAACTTGTCCGGCACCCAGCCCTTAATGAAAACTCCTGCAACACATGCACAAGATTATTTTAATTAACATATTAAGGAGTTCTACTTTGCTCCTACTGAACATGATTGGCACGTTTACCCTAATTGTTTAAAAGACGTTGTAGTGTCCTGTCCACCAATTACAGAACTCAAAAAAAATCATCAAAACACAAAATTGCCCTGCAAATACTCCAACCAAGGCCACCCAAGCAAATTCAAGGCAAACTGACCAGTGACATGTTAAAATACTAAAAATGACCTCAGATTTATTGCAAAACTATTGTTGACATCCAAAGTTTTTATTCATTAAATTTGTACAAAACATTGTAAATTACAGTTGAACCTGATCCACTAACAGCCACCTATGAGCTCTACAATGGCCACATCTTTTGGTCTGGCCACCAGACAGTCCATACATTCAATCAGATTATTTTAAGCTCTCTAAAACGGCCACCTCTCCACAAAGGCAACAGCTACTAAAACGTGTCCCAAAGTTCTGCCAAAATCACCTCAACAAGGACCAGTCAATCAGCAACTGATGAATGGTGTATACAAAATCTGATTTTGTTTTGTAAACGGTCACCAAACTTAATCCACAATATGCATCATTGGTCTCTAATTAGTAATTCAGTTTTATCGATATATTTTTATAGTGTTACTGTTTATATGCTAAAATAAACATTTTTATATAATATATAAATGTAAGTGGTATACCGAGTGGTAGCAAATTTATAAAAACAATATCCCCACATGTACATCTGAGGATATCATTTTTATCCACATACACGAGGATATCATTTTTAGTAACATTTTTGTCCATTTAACTGCACTTAAGTTTGCTAGAGTATGATCGAAACATCATTGTCACATAACAACTCAGTTAAATGACCTTCCCCTCCATGAGTTCTTGTAGCTCAGTTGATAGAGTGCTCACCCAGTGTTCAGGAGGTCATGGGTTGGACTCCTGTTGGGGACCTTTCATATTTCAACTTTGGATCTTCTTTGCAAGTCTTCATCAATCTTCGGACAATGTTCAGAAATGTTTGTCTGGCCTTTGGAAAAATTTTGGAGAATCTTCAGAAATCTCTGGACACTTCCAGACATGAAATTTCTCTTCTCATGTTGAAAATTTTTTCACTCGTTTGCTGCACTCACTCATGCAACATTTTTTCACACTCGAAGAGAAATTTTGTATCTCCACGCAGCCATGTAATATCCCCAATTTAGTACACAAACTGTTAAATGAAAGCTAACCTTTTTGATCTCATCTTCAAAAGCTTTCTGCAGGTATCTGTATCTTGCAATAACTTGGTTGATCACCTGTGAGATCAGAAAACACTTATGAATAAAGGGAAACACACAAAAAGGGATGCATTGCGCAGAACAAACACAACTGAGAATAAAACATGCACCGGAGCTTGTCAACTGCGGCATTTTGTGTAGCTAAAACTCAGCTGCAATACATGTATTTACTGAAATTTAGGCAAGCCACCTTTGCAATGTTCTACGTTCAAGCCTGTAAATTAAAGCAACAGGAAAAAATCCTCAAGATGGTTTTGAAGTCAAAAACAACATCACTTAGTAGAAGCTCTTACTTAAGACTAGTTTTCACTAGAGACAGAGTCAGAGTACGAATCATAGTCGGAGTTGTTAGAGAGCTTATGACCTGGGGAAAATAGAAAATTGGAGTCACAAGCGGAGTCATAAGTGTAATGGAATCTGAGTCGGAAGAATCTGAACATTTCCATTTCTTCTGATTCCATTTATGACTCCATCGCTTATGATCCAGAACTAGATTGCCAGAGTTGGAAGCAAAGTAAAGCAGAAGAACCAACCAATCACAAGGTCCAGAATGAAGCATTGTGATTGGTATATTCTTCTGCTTCTGCTTCGATCCAACTCCAACAATCTAGTTTTCAATAGATCGTAAGCAACAGAGTCATAAGAATCGTTGCTCTGCTTCCAATTCAGTTGGTTTGATTTTCACTAGATTGTACTGCTCAGTCTACACTTCTGACCATGACTCCGACTAGTGAGAAATAGCCTTAAAATTTGTCAGACGAAGAAGTACCTGCACATAATTCTTGAGATCTTCATCATTGGCTTCAAAAACACACACAGATGTTTTCCAAGTGGATTTTTCACCTTCTTCAAGTATACTACCACCAGGGGCTATGGAGAGCAAAAAAAAGAAAAAAAAGAATTAAAAACAAATAACCCTGCCATGTGTGCTCCAATTGGCTGAAAATTATTTCATACAAGAGGGGGTTTAATGGGTTTCATTAACGTTTTTGGCAGGGTGGCAACAGTGGTTCATGGCCAGACAAAACTATTTGAACTGAACTGCTTTAAAAGAAAAAAATTTTCCCCTAAATGAATATGGTCAAACCAGGAAGGCAAAACTGTCCCAGTCAATTTGTCCAATGCCCAGCACTTAAGACAACCCCTGCCTGATGGCCTGGATTCTGGGTTGAGTGGTCTGGGTTCTAACACCCCCGGCAAAGGAAAATGCATTGGATATGCTCTTGGACAAGACACTTCCCATGGCCCTGCTGTCATTATGGGTATCAGAGAACTTAAATGCTGGGGGAGACGTTGGATTAGACCACATGTAGTTAGTGTCCGCACGTCCAAGCAGAAGTTACTTCATGCTACTGTCAGAACCTGGGATGAGCTTTGGAAGTATGGCCCAACACAAATTTCACCCTTCTAACAGACAATGCATATCTCAAAAAGTCTTACTTCATACAGTATTTGTATCTGCACATTTCCAGATAGTCTGATCTTTTATGCTGCTTATAACCCACTCACAGATATATAACACCTTAAACCCTTTCAAATTTTATAAAATTGGCATAATACATATACCTAAAACACCTCCAGCAAATAGTATATCAAAGAGATACTCTCCATAAAGCCGATAATTCAGCTTACTCCCAGACGAAACCAAAAACTTCAACACCTTAAAGAGAGAAAAAACAAACAAACTTTAACTTAATCCCAAACTTATGATCACATTTTTGTTGTAACTAAGTTGTACAAGAGTTTGCGATTTGAATGTTTAGATTCCAAGCAGAAATTTGATGTCTCCCCAAAACAGCATAAATTATCAAAGTTGTCACTCCCCATAAGGTAGCATGAACCTAGCTTTACAGATGCTGGTGTTTAACTAAATTTGCAGACTGCAAACTACATACATGTACAGACTGCAGACTTTTTAACTAATATGCATTCCCTTTTCCACTACCAGGAGTCAACTGTAAACAGGCTAACATGAGCTCTATTCAGGCTAAATGTTTAGGATGAACAAAAAAAAATTGTTACCCTTGGTTGATGTGTGACACTTAAATGGATATAAAAATTCAAAAGAAAAGAAAAATTGAAAACTGACAAGGTAAAAAATGTCAGTGTTATCTTGTCATCAAGCTAGCCTGAGTGATATGTCTGCAAATGTCATATATACACCATACACTCGCTGACAGATACTTTTCATAGACATATAAGCCATAGCCATAGCAATTTTTCTTGGACAATTCTGTCCAAGGGGGAAAGACACAATGAGGTTAACCCTATGTAAAGCACCAACCCGCGAGACAAGGCCACACCATATAACACCAGGAACTCTGTGCCCTACTCCTTGCGATAAGTGTGTGGGTTCTTTAACATCCCCTGCTAACCACGTAACACTGAAGATGCAGGAGATGAGGCCTACCATATATGTTGATCACAACTTACTTGGTCTAAATCATTGTTAGCGATTTCCTGCAATCCCTGTATTATAGCATCTCGAAAGGCAAGAGGGTCTTGCTTTTCTTTTTCGTCTGTTGAGGAATTTGAAATTCAATTTTCATTCACTTACTAATACACAGTTTGAATTTTGAAATTTTTGTGATGGTAATCATGTTTACATTAATTTTTTTAGGCTGGCAGACTAATGAACTGGTCACCAGCTTCACCTGGGGTCAATCCCAGGGTTGACTAGGGGAAAGTCTGTAAGGTGGAACAAATATCAGAAAAGTATTTCCATGGGTATACTTTTACTACTTAGCTGGGAGGCGGCGTGGCCAAGAGGTTTAGGGTGCTGGATTTGAAATCTGGAGGTCCCTGGTTCAAATCCTTCGTCCTACCGCTATCTGGATTTGTTCTCGGTAGCCCCGAGTTCAACTCCTCGGCCGCGTTGTGTAAATAGCCAACTGGTCAGCCTCCCACCAGTTGGGATTCTTAATAGTTTATGTTATATTTGAAATATTTGTTTATTTATTTACAGTGTCCCCAATTAGCACATTACAACAGTCTGTTAGCACAATACATCGACACTTAAATAAAGTGATTATTGTTATTATTATATTATTATTATTATGGGTAGGGGAATGAATCTCACCAAAATGCAAAGTCATCCTGGTTGTCATTTCATTCAACTACGTGTAATGAGAATTGCATGAATTCTTCCTCTATAAATCTTGTCAACAAAGTCTTGATCTTCTCCTACCCCCGGGCAAAGATTCCATGCAATGCCCCTGTATCCCTGAGCTCAACTCCAGAGGGAAGTCTATGACAAATTTAAGCTTAGCAAACGATTCTATAATTTTTTTTTTTAAAAAAACTAAAGCTGCGACATGTCGAAGTGCTTAGCTAGGGCGTTAAAATCACACTTTCAGTTTCCACATATAATATTCATCAGTACAGATCAACTAGCTACCATGGAAATCCAAAGATTTATTTCACATTTCTAAATGACATCACGTCCGGAGTTAAATGTGAAGAACAGCAGCTATGAAACTGACATGCAATGCACGCGAAATGCATGGAATGATGTTGTCAGCGTAAATTATTTCCAAACATGAGCTCGCACGGTGAGCATTTAATAAATCAAGGAAGTGACGAATCAATGACTACCAAAAGTATTACCTCTTTTGCGGGTTCTGATCCGCTGGCCACTGAGAGTAGGTTTGGGTTGCTTTTGACTCATAAAACGACTGGCTGAAAGCAGGATTAAACGAACAAGCTTTTAACAAGTCATCCATGCACGTACGATTTCAATTAAGACTTTAATTTGGAGCATAAGTGTACTTAAATTTACGGTAACTTTACTGAAATACTAAGTTCTGGCAATCAAATTTTCCCCAAGTATTGAGTTATTCGTTAGGCCTACTGTGATAACCGCTGTTATGACCAGGACAACTGAATAATTATTTAAAATTTAGCAAGCGTGTTGTTCCACGTTTTCAAGAACACTGTGTACATGAAGTTTCATACGGAGTTCGCTGATGGCAGAAAATAAACAACGCCAAGTTAAAAATCAATAGAACGTTCACCTCCACACCCAGTATAAATTTTCGGAGCAGTGTTTTCAGCCAAAATTAAGCGTAATGTGAAAACATTTACACAGCAGTGATAACAGATCACAAAAGCTAAGGAAATGTACGCAAAGAAGATGTGAAAACATGTTACCCCGTTACGATCGATCGCCAAGCTCTGTTCAGAAAAACAATTTTAATACGAATCCTGTGAAACTACGATAGATCATTAAAACAAGGCGTGATCCGCTAAGAGACATTCATTGCATTTAAATCACGAAACTCAGCTATTTGAGGGCTCTTTCAACGAACGCACGTACGATTTTGCGAGAATTGTTCTAGCTTTGAAACAATAAATGACCCAAAGTTAAGGATTATTTCTTTAAGATTGCCATACGGCTCTCAGGAAATATCACAAAGATATCTACAAAAAGATGTAATGAGTGATCTTACCTGGAAACCTATTAAAATATTGGCAAGAAGTAAAAGTTATCGATGGATGCAGACGACACTACACTCACATCCGCTGTAAAATATATGACACCGACAGCGAGCACGAGGGGACGACGAACAATAATGTCAGGGATCTGGGCTTGAATTTGCAACCACGCCTCATCCGCCACATCCCGCCGGACGCGGGCCGGGCGCATATCACATACCATGACTCGACTCCTGCCCCACGGAATCACTCGCGAGAAAATAGCCACAGGGCGCCACAGGTACGGTACGTGCAGACTGCAATTTTTATTTTTGTTTTGTTTGCGTTAACACCTTTCTTCACTTATTACCCAACTCTAGCTCCAGTAGTAAGACTTCATCTTAATTCTCGCAAAACTCAGCCTGGCCCGGCGCGTGCCTCGAAAAAAATAAATAAATAAATAAAAGAGAGAGAGGGTTTTCTTGTTTTGACCTTGGACACGCGGAGCTCTTTTCAGCAGATCCCATTAAAGAAATGTCCTCCTGATACCGAACTTCACAACTAATCGGAATCAAACTTAAGTCGAAGTCCCAGTCTAATATAAAACATTTTTCGTTTTTCTATCGAGTTTAATTTCCCTTTTTCTATTGAGTTTAATTAAAAAGTGATTTTTATCCAATCAGTGCATGTATTTTCTTTGGGGTATTTTTCTTAACGAAAATATTGAATCAGCTCATAAGCCAATGCAATGCAATGGCAATGCAGTCCATAGTCGAGGTCTGTCCTCTCTGTTGCAAAGCGCTTTTTGACTTCGTCTTTGGTCTGAAAGTATGATTCTATTCCTGTCAAATAATTACGAACCCTCCTGATTTGACTCACTCTTTTAATTTTTATGGTTGGCTTTTCTTTGTACAAAATGAAAAGAAATAAAGGATTGGTGAAAGATAAGTAAAATGATAAAACGTATACAAAAACTATTTCTGCAAGCATCAAACTTTCAGTTAAGTTTAGGGTTCTTCTTAAAAACAACCTTTTTGAAAACTTAGCCAAGGATATTCGCTAAGTGCAAAAATTCAAAGAAGAAGAAGGTAAAATGAAAGAAAGAAAGAAAGAAAAATGCCCAGAACATCAGATTATCGCCCAGTCTCCGTAAGTTCATCCCGCGCGGTCCATGCGTGATGTCACTCTTCACTTCAGCCACATCACGTGTCCAGACTTTGCATCGTAAACATGGCGGGTTCTGTGGAAGCCAGATTTGACGCTGCAGTGAATGTGGTGCGATCAATGCCAAAGAAAGGTATCAATTAGTCTTTTCACACCAATTTCTTTAAGAAGGAGAGGTGTTTCGTTTTTCTTTCGGTGGTTTTCTTCGTAACATGTGTGTTTTCTGTTGAAATTCTAAGGAGCCTACCAACCTTCGTACGACACGATGTTAAAGGTATGTCGAGACGGCAGTCATTTACTTATTGTAGGATTTAGCAGTTAATTTACAAGGCTTATTGTCCAGTAATTTCTATCGATGAGTGAAGAATTTGTCAGTGTTTTTATTCTAGACTACGTCATATACTTAGTGGTTCGAATAAACAAATAACTGTGTTTTCTTTGCAATTATCTTCTATTTCTTAATTTCAGCAACAGAAGCTTATCACCTGATAAATTTTGGTATCCATCTTAAGTTTCATTGCTTTTGTGTCATATCAACAAAACCTCACCTATTATTTCGTTATTTGTTTACCATTTTATCACGTATCCGCCTATTTCAAGACCTTGATTCGAATTGTGATACATGTGCACGCTAAAAATTGCGAAAAGTTATTCATTTAACTAATCTCATGATGGCTTGAATTTAGGAGTAAATAAGGCTTGACTTTTGTAGTGAATGGGTAGCTGATGTATAAAGGTCCAAGTTTAAACCTTTTCCAGACAATCTCAAGTTGGTTTGGCAGAAAATCCATTAGGCTGTAATGCCCAAAGGGTACTTCTTTTCTTTATGGTCGATGTCTATGGGCCCATTTGGAGTGACAATGTCTGTTGAAATGTTTATACATATGTATAGGTTATTGAGCAAGTGTGAGGTCAAGATGGCTGGATATTGGCCAAGTTCTTTTTTTGCATGTTTATGGACCGAGACGGAGTCGAGGTCCATAAACCCGCAAAAAAAG